AGGGATTGCGGCGTGACCATCCCCCCTGGGGGGTGATTTCTCGCTTTCTGTCTCTATGTCTCTCTCTGTCTGTCTGGCGAGCGCACGTGCCCTATAGTGAAAATCTCTCAAAAAAAAAAAAAAAGAAAAGAAAAGAAAAGAAAAGAATCATAACAGCTATTTACATAATATGGCCCTTATCTGATTTCTGATTTAAACAACTTATCAAAATACATACTCTTGGGCTAGCCAATGGCAGAGTGGTTTAGGCAGCTGAATCCCACATGGCTGATTGTGAGTTCCAGACAGGATGGCTTGAAAAAAAAACACACCCATCAGGTGCATGTGCATGTGTGCCCAAAATCCCAAGAGGAGAGTGGTGTAGCCATCCCCTAAGAGGGATGTCTTTCTCCGGGAAGCATACATGCCTTCTAGGAAATTAAAAAAACAAACCACAAAAAACACATACTTTCATTTCAGACTTTGAAACAATTAAGAAAATAAGAACACTGGATGTTTAGTACACTTAAATAACTATTTGGTGGACCAGTGGATGGCGTAATGGTCACGTTGCTGGACTCCCACATGACCAATTGCAGTTTGAATCCTGGACCTGGAGGCTTCAAACTCATGCTGGGTGCATATGCGTGTGTGCCCAAAATCCCGAGAGGAGAATGGAGGTAAAGGATAGCAGCCTGGCCATTCTCCCTGGGAGATGATTTCTTGTTTTCTGAACCTCTGCCTCTCCAGCAAGCACACATGTCCCATAGCAAAAATCTCTCTAAAAAATAAAAAGAAATAACTGTTTGTGCTAGCCCTATAGCCTAGTGGTTAAAGGAGTTAGATCTCACACTGCTGTCTTCAGTTTGAGTCCCAGCCCCTGAATCTTGAAAAACACGCTGGGTATGTGTGCATGTGTGCCTAAAATCCTGACAGGATAGAGACATTGAGGGGACAGAATTACGGCATGTCCATGCTCCATTGAGGGGTACTCCATCCCTTTCTCTCTCACTCTGGTGAGTGCACTTGCCCTCTGACAATCAAAGAATAAAAGGACTGCTCAGTTTGGGAGTACTATAGTGGTATTGTGATTGTGGCTACAAAAAAGGGGGTCTTCCTTTTTGAGATATATAGAGAAATATTTATGGATGAAACGATAAAATGTCTGGGTCAAAACAATCTGGTGGGGCGGAAGTAGGTCACACGTAGATAAAACAAGATTGGCTGCGAGCTGAGAGTCTTCAAGCTGAGTGACGGGTACCATTCTCTACTTGAATAATGAGTAGGGCACTCAAAGAAATGAATTTAAACACAAGATTAAATGAAAAGGAAGATTTGGCAACCATTATGAAAAAGTAGACTTGGCAAATACTGAACACATATCACGAAGTGGAGTGCCAAGGCAAAGCAAACACATTCTCTGGGAGGTTGAAGGATGACACAATAGCAGGCACATCTATTTTAATTATTTCTTCCACGCCACGTTGGTAAGGCAGGTTAGGGTTTCCTAGGAGAGCCTCCCTGCACAGAGGTGGCTGTCATCAAGGCCGACTCCTCCAGGAGAGAATACAAGCAGCAACTCCAGCAAGATCCAGCCACCAAATGAGAAGGGGCTAAGGGGCAGCAGCACTGGTGGGAGAAGAGCCAGACCTGGGCAGTGTGGTCAGGTGGGGCCCATTCCCAAGGACGTATGGGCTTAGAACACTTCACGACTTCCCTGTGAACCTGTGCAGGTGAGGCAGCATGAGGAGTGACATGCTGTCAGCAAAAACGGGAAAGAAACCCTTTGGTGGGGAAAAGATCATAAAATCTCACCCAGCTGATATGGCTATTTTTATTTATATTTTTTTCTAGCATACGGGCCCATTCCCAAGGACGTATGGGCTTAGAACACTTCACGACTTCCCTGTGAACCTGTGCAGGTGAGGCAGCATGAGGAGTGACATGCTGTCAGCAAAAACGGGAAAGAAACCCTTTGGTGGGGAAAAGATCATAAAATCTCACCCAGCTGATATGGCTATTTTTATTTATATTATTTCCTAGCATACTATAAATATATATACATATATATATATATATATACACACACACATATATATACACACATATATATACATACATATATACACATATATACATACATATATGTATACATACATACATACATATACATATTTTAAGTAATGACATTAAAGTTTGATTTTTTAAAAATATACTAATATTTGAAAAGTCATTTTTAAGGCCTATAGAAGAATAATTAGAGAAGCCTGAACTGTGAAAGGAAGAGCAGGAACGGTAAAGGAAGGAAGTACTGAATCTAGAAATTTAGAAGTAGGCTTTGACACTTGAACTAGTTATTCATGATGATATCATTTTAGTTTTACTTTTTTTCCATCATGAAATTCTGGAGTTCACATCAGTGGGTCTCAAGAGGGGAGTGCATATTCACAGAGTCTAGGAAGGAGCAAGAAGCAGGCACCTACAATTGAAAAATAACTGGGGGGATTCTGACCCAGTACTTCCTCCACTAGACCACCACTTCTTTCTGGGAGGTTCCTGGAGGGTGGTCAAGGCCTGTGTGCTGCTAAAACACACCACGGAAAGCTGGCCCTTCCGATTTGAAATATCCTGTAAGCTAAGGAGAGCTGCAATGATAAAGGGCAATGGGATCCCCATATATTCCCGATCAGCTCATATCACCTCCCATGTTTCCAGCATGGGGCAGCTTCGAGCTGTGAGCATGGTCCCCAGGAGGGCGGAGGGGCCCCCATTGTAGGCCACCTTCCAGAAGTGTGTGCACTTAACTGTCTACCTGCACCGCTGCTTCCATTCCGGTGAGGGATGGCGACAGGCAGATGATTGCAGTGCTCTTTGCAGTCAAAGACTGAGCCTCATAGAAAAGGGCTTGAAGAAGAGTGCTTGAGCAGATATCAAAAACATTTCCTGTATCTCTGCAATCTCCTTTCGTCTCCTGACGTGCCTGAGACTATCACGGCTTCTGATAATGCTGACTAGATTGGTCTGGACAAAATATGCAGACCAACGGCAGCATCCCTCACTACACCGATCCTGAGTTTCATTCTTGAAATAGCCTCTCATTCAGATATGCCTGTTTCTTTGATAATTACAGTGCCCACAAACCTGTTCTTCCCCCAGTAAGAAGGAGGGGTATCGATTTAAGCAGATAGCACCTTCTATGCAGCATGCTCAAAATGCAGTGCATGGGCTGAAATGAGTAGCCAAAAGACACACGTTTGAGTACGAACAATGTTGGTTTCCAAGCTCCTTCTCTGGGCGGACTCCCCAAACTACACAATCACCCACACAGTGAGGCCTATAGTCCATGGAAGAACCCAAGCAGCAGGTGAAAAAGAGTGCTTAGCCACAACCCTCTGCTATTACAATTCTACACAGCCTACAGAATTAAAGGACCTAAAAGTCACAAATTTTAACACTCATTCTTAATATTAAGAATTACATTCAGAACAAAGTTAAAACCCAGTCACTTTAGTTTAGCTCTAAATGCTCTCTATGAATTGGAAAATTTTCCACTCCTGCTACTTTCTTAATATTACTTTCCAAAATATCCGTAAGTAAAGGATTATGTTTAGGACACAGCAGGTGTTAGGAACAGTTAGGCTATGACTGCTTAAAGACTCAGTAAACATCTGCTGGTTACATTCATCTTTCCCACCCTCCTCATTACCATAGTTGCAGGCCCCATGTTAATACGGACACGTATCTTAACATGGACAAGACTGACAAAAAGAGGAGAGTGAGTCACTTTCAAAGACATAGAATTCTATTTTAAGAATTGTCAGGCGGGGCACCTAGTCCCTGCCACATAAGTCCCTTTTCAAAAGAAGCTGCAGTAAAGGTACAGCTTCAAAGATCTAATTAGTCTAAGTTGATCTTTGCAGGAGGGGAGTGAAATCCTGGGGCCATGGGAAAAGAAAAGAAGACTAACCAGCCTGGGTGGGAAAAGCCACTCGTGGTATCTAACAGGGCAAGTCCTGAGCTGAACCA